ACAGCGTCTCCCTCACGAGCTTCCTGTTGCTGTTTGATGTCACCGCTGTGCTCATCGTGGACTGAGTATTGGTACTCGTAGTGGGCTGGAGCCTCTGCTTCAGCGTAGGCCACCTTGGCAAGGGGAACCACTGGTACGGCGGAGGCAACTGCGGCCAGGGCGAGAACGACGAAGAACTGAAATGAATTACAAATAAGATTATAATCTAGCAAATGTTTTATATGTTTCAAATATTTGAATCAAACACTGTTTTTGTACTAATTTATTAAGTAAATTATTAAAATAAATGTAATTATTAATAATTAAAATATAATAAACTTAATCATGTGAAACCAATACTGAAATAGTTTTGTTGTAATATATTGAAGATATTTAAATACATTTTCATACCTTAGCTGCCATTGTTACTGGTATGATTGTCCAAGTTTGACTATGATTCTGTTCGAGTTGCACCAGTTTTTATACTTGATTATTTCGTCGGCCATGGTGACAATTTTCGCCGGCGGCTGTAGGGCGTGCACTTATTAATCGGCTTGCAGGTGAAGGTTACGGAGGCATACGTAAGTAGATCGGAATGAAACGGGTACCTACATTGCTCGACATGACATGACATGTGGCCAATTTCGTTGGTACAAGGTTAAACTTTCGAAACAGGTATCTACCGTATGTAGGAATTTATGTGTATCCTTCCTCAAGTGTTATTTAACATTTTTACAATTTCATGACATATACGATATAATACTTAATTACATAATATTATATATAAGTTCAGCATATTTTTGTCGAGACCCTTGGTCCGAGGGGTCCAAGGCTTATTAAGGAAATAGCAAAAAGGTTAGTCGACATCACAGGAGACCGAAGAGCTGGCAGCTACATCGGACAAAGATTTAGTCTAGCTGTTAAACTGCCAGTATCTTCGGAACCTTGCCTCAAGGGACTCCTTTTAACAATATATTTTAGTTATTATATTTTAATGTTAGTTATTGTTTTTCTGCTATTAACTAAAACGTAGATGAATATTCAGGTTATTAGTATGACTTTAAATAAACATACAAATATCAGCAGTTCAGCATATAGGTATATAAACATCAAACTGTCTTCGGAACGGTCTAATTGTTTGCTGTTTCATATCAAGCACGATAACATAGATTTTATAATTTTCAAATAGGCAATTGTGATAATCTCGTTCTATGTAAAATAACTTTCCACTGAAAGTGTATTTTCTTTTGAATAAAACACAGGACGTGTTTCATTCGTGACGAAAATATTTCTCGTATTGGTCGGCACACAGTTATTAAAAAGTCTAGCTCATGCACGATAGTTGGAAACAAAAACTACGTCAGAAATAGATCTATGTTGTTCGAATTGGTTTTTAGTTGTGTAAAGTTAAAAAGGTGTACAATGTACAATTAAAATGCCTTAATTGTACCCAAAACAAAAGTAATTAACACGACTTAAATGGAATTTATCGCTTGTAATCAATTGTAATATTGGCAAATGAAAGTCGACGGGTTTTGAAGTAATCTCATGACATACAGTCGAGCATACTCGTTACATAAGATAACTTATTCCCAGACCATTCGATTAATTAAAATTTTTGGATGTACGTCCCGGATATTATAATATTAATACACCTAATTACTACTACCAATACGTTTACGGAGATTTGTTTTCTCATACATTTCGGAATAGTATATGATGATAACTTGAGAGTGAAATGATTCGAAGTTCAAGGATTCAGCTAATTGAGAACGATAAAATCATCTTTATCAACATGTTTATTTGAAATATAAAAGGGAATAATTTTCAATTAGTCTCTTTACAAAAAGAAATCCTACTGAATGGATATTTATGAAGTTATGAGTACTGAGATAAATAATAAATCGTAACATATATTTAATTCGTATACGTAGTAAATAGAATTTAGACTTTCAGCAGTCTAAATTCTATGCAAGGATTTTTATATCAAATTTGTTACTGCTATAAATTATTATTATGAAAAATATATTAAATAGAGTAGTAGGAACCAAGATATCTATCGATTAGTGCTTTTAATAAAAAGCCATAGTTCGGGAAATTTGATGTTATTAACTAGGGTATAAATTAGATCCGAAAAAATTGAGTCCATTCAAAAGAGACTCAATATCCCATATCTTTCGTAGATTTTTTATCTGTGTAATTATTTCGTTCTTGACCTTTAAGTAATACACGTTTACATGAATAAGAACATTTCGAATAAAAATGTCCCATAGGTCGTGCAATATGACCTAGTTCGTACGTAAAAACGCGTTGAAGTTATAATCATTGAGTGTATTTTACGCATTTTCCTTATCGTATGATTCAACGTATTATATTACGGTGTCTGCGTAATTTTGTTACGCTTTCAGATTAAAGTACTGTTAATGTTTATTGATTGAAAGACTAGAAATAGTCTGCCAGTACTATATGTGAGAACGGAGCAAAGACATTCTATTATTCTTCTATATTAATGATTATTTTTGTAGTTTTTATTACTGTACTTAACAATACAAAACAATTATGGTATGAGGCTCTTGTGTACGGTAAATCGTCAGGAATCCAGTCGGTTTTCTTAGACCTAAAAACATCGACGGCGTGTGTCAGGCACAGGAGGCTGATCAAATACATTAAGAAAAATTACACAGATCAAACAGGATATTGTAACACATACAGAAATCGAAGGCAATCGTGGTTTTTTGTATCCTGGATCCAGTAAATTTCGATTTTTTTTTCTTTTATTGATCATGCTACACAGCAGCACAAAATAAGCGTAATGTATAGAGGAGAATATGTACTCGGAGTTTAATATTCGAATAGTAAAAATAACTTTCAAACAATCACAATTATATAATAATCAAACTTAATGTTTTTAATAGAAGAGTGTATGTAATATTAAATATTATGTAACATCTATCAACTAGGTGATACGTATTTCAAACGAGATTAACGAAGATAGCAGTAATAACTAATTACAATATTGTAACTTAGTGTAAGAGCCAATATATTTTAATAAATGTCTAGTTTTTAATAGGTTCACTTTGTAAGGTGGGAGTCGCTTTTTTTCCTAAATTTATTTATTGTATATACCTAATTAATAAATATAATAACTTTTCTTCAGTGGTTTTAGCAAAGGATCTTTAGCTTTTTATACATATAGCAAGCAGAGGTCCTGATAGCTCGGAAAAGTTTGTGGTGGTCGGCAAAGTGGAAGGTACGAGACGCCGAGGCCGATTCCCTTCTCGCTGGGCCGACCAAATTAAGGTCTTTACAGGCCTTAGTATTAGACAGGCGCTAAGGCTCGCTGAAGACAGGAAATAATGGAGGAAGCTATGCAACACTAACACGACGCAAACACAGCAGGAATATAGAAAGCAACGAAGGAGAATAGAGAGAATATTATTTCTAAATAGTGTCTGATTTCAAGACATTACACGTATCTTAAACAATTGGTTTCAGTACCATTATCATCTTATTTTACCCCTTTGATCATAAAGATGTTGGTTGGATATTGGTATGTCAGAACAAACAGTTTTATATATGATTACTATAGATTTATACTAATTACTGTTACGGTGCAACATTTCATTTAAAAATAATTTAAAACAACTATTAATGTCCTAATCCTTGTATCTTTCTTCTTTACCAGTATGTTTGTCGTTCTCGGGATTTATAAATTTTGTGCTGTCATGTTTTGTTTTGCTTTGCTCTGTATCATATTTTTTATCAGTGAAACTTTTTGTGGATACATTCAATGTGTTTAATTTATGTTTTATTTTTAACTTTTTTTATTGTATAGAGGTGTATCTGTTTGTTTTCCCAAATATATAAACAACAAAATATTTTAGTTTTACCTATATTCAGGGATTGTTTCCCGTCCATTAAAAGTTGTAATATTGACTGTAAAAAGCCTCTGACACTAAAATTTTTTGGCTCTTAGTGTAACGCATGATAACTTTTTTGAACGGTGTAATGACAAAACCTTGCCGATGGGAAAAATATAACTGGTTTTTATTACATTAGTTAATCTTAAAATGCGTTTATTTATGGATTGAGTAATCTTCAATTACCTTAGTATTTTTATGGTGGATAGAGTCGCCTATGGCTTAATGCTTGTGTATAATGGAGGTCCGGGTCATTACAGTTAAACAAATAAAATAGTCTGTAGGCTCAAAATGATTGCCTACTTATCATAAAACATGATCAATAACTAATTACATAACTAAGACTTAGAATGTCAATCAAACTGAAATCTTAAAGTTTGGCATATTCGACAATGGTTATGACGAGATTGTGACGAGATAAAAATTAGAAATCAGGGTCGAAAAAAGTATTATTTGTAGATACTAATTTTTATAACTATTTCCGACTTTTTTTTTATAGAACATGTAAAAACGGATAGGAGGCTGGATGTTAAATAAGGGAGCCTCCTTTGCTACCCATGGACACTCTCAATGCCTGGGCTCGCGTGTGCGTTGCCGGCCTTTAAGAAATTGGTACGCTTCTTTATTAAAGGAAAACGTAAATTACTTCTCGTGGAAGAAAGAATGCGATGTATGGAAGATAAATAAGCCTCGGATTTATTAGAGATTTTTAGACAAATAAACCTCTCTCTTAAATCACTGTATTGAATGTGTATTGTGTACGACTGACGACTGTGAACACTTAGCTCTAGTACCTATGCCTCCCATAGGTTAGAAATTTATTTCATTTGCCTAGAGAGGAGTACAGATTACAAGTTTTATACTAATGATGAGATATCTAATCTATAATTTACTTTTTGTCTTTGACAAATATTAAACAGCACTAGTTTCATACTTTAATGAATATTGTTAATGAATGTAATCACCTTGTATGAGAAATGACATAACTCGAACCGGATTTTGATATGTTCTGCTCAAACCTACTTTTGTTCAAAGAGTTTAATATATAAGCAGTGTCTCTGTAACATAAAGCATTATCTGATAACTATTCTACCATTAAACATGGCAGCTAAAGTGAGTTAAAATTTAATCAATTAAAAGAAATCGGATATTACCGAGGGAATATTTCCTCAGAAATAGCAAATAGTATTTGAAGGAAACTTTATTTTTTAAAATGCGAGATAGATTCTTTATATTATTTTCCTTTCCACCTATCATATATAATAATAATTTTCTTTCAGTTCGTAGTCTTCTTCGGTATGGTGGCAGCCGCAGCCGCACTTCCCGTTGTGCCTGTCGCCCATGTCGCTTATGAGCCTGAAGCACCAGCCCACTACCAGTACCAATACTCAATCCATGATAGCGTCAGCGGAGACGTGAAGGAACAACAGGAGGCTCGTGAAGGAGACGCTGTCCACGGCTCATACTCTTTCGTCCAACCCGATGGTGTTCACCGCATTGTAGAGTACACCGCTGACAAGGAACACGGTTTCAATGCTGTCGTACGGTATGAAGGCACACCAATCCCAGCCCCCACCAAGGTCCCAGTGTCTGCCCCAGTGGCTTACGCTCCAGTGTCTTACGCACCAGCAAAGGTCGCATATGCCCCAGCTAAAGTATATTCTCCTGTATCGTACTCAGCACCAGTATACTCCCCTGTGTCCAAGGTAGCATACGAAGCTCCCCAGGGTCATGTTACATTCTCATCACCTGTCGCCTCATACCACCACTAACTTAGAATATGTTAACTAATTTATTTTGTTGATTAATTATACTTTAATCATGTACAAAACTTATTATTACCTGAAAAGGTTCATATCATGTACCCTAACGTATCAATAAAAAAGTAAAGTAAACCGAAATACAGTTAAATAATGTATGACCTAAAAGCCGTACTTAAAGTAATTCATATATCGTTACGTGACCTAGGCCATTTATATGATGAATGAATAAAAACGGAAGACAACAACTCCTACCCAATACATCTAATCAATCGTTAACTAATCGGGCATTTATATTGAATGTAGGTACTATACATAAATTTAAAGTTAACTAGCAGACCGGCCAAGCGTTGCTGTGGCTAAGGTTTTTGTTATATAACAAAGTAGTAAACTATTTTAGAGAAACGGTAGGAGAACACCAGTCATGGGGACCACCATGCTTTATTGGTGGTTATGCCATTAAATTGTAGCTTATGTGAAACGTTGGTACTTTCAACACAGCGCTATCTGTTAGAATTCTGTCAAATAATAAACAAATATTTTGCAATAAAATAATATTGCGGGTATAAATTGAGATGTAAGCTATCCTATCTTTTAAGTTGGATCAAACTACACACGGTGTGCAAATTTGATTGATATCGGTTCGGTAGTTTAGGAGTCCATAGCGGACAAACAACGTGACACGTAATTTATATATATTAAGATTAACAACTAAAGATAAAAGTATGACTCTGGATAAGGCTGTTACCGAATTCATTGTTTACCATCGCCAAACAAATAGAATTGCACAAGGAGGCGTCAAAACGGCGTATCCGATATCAAAACGTTATAAACGAAGTTAGAAGGAAGCGTGCGGGTAGTGTCGGGGAATCAATTGAATTATGTAACATTATGAAGTGAGTGGCTCCCGTTACTCGGCACGTCCGTTCCCCTACGGCTCGCTTTGACGCATTACTCCTGACACCTATTCACTCATGTAGTTAAACTCGCGTGTAACCATTATAATTGGACCTTGCACTAGTCACAAAGTTACTCCTCCACCTACAGTTACAAAGTTATGAGGGCGCGGGGTAGTTCTCAAACATTTGTCGGAGTGGTTCTGCTCAACTTGCAAGTAAAACGCTACACGCCACACATTAATGATTGCAGGCAAATACAAATTGACAGTACTGATAGTAAAAGTGGTTGTTAGGATAAAGCGAGGGGCTTATAAATGTGTGATGTGAATATTTAATTTAAGCGGGTAGCTTGTGAGCTTTGCAAGGGGTTTCCTAAATGTTTTGCCAATGATGTTTTATCTGAGTTTGTTTGATTGCAAGACTTTTATTTTATGACAGTTTTATTATCGAAACCTTTTAATTTACAATTAATTATATTAATAATATGAACTAGTGAATTAGTGTTAGTGCACGTTAGTAGTAAGTGCTAAACGTAGAGACTATAAGTAGTGTTATTGGACACTTCCTTATGATAAAAATCCTTTTTAGTAAATCAGGTTAGACTTAAAATACTTATAAGTCTTAGGTTAGGCTAGATCGTAATGTTCCATGATGTCTTAGTGAATACACATACACATAGTGTCTAACAAAGATGTTCAGAACAACACGGAAATTTATTTGCTCCAAGTCTTATCAAGGGGTTATAATTTTTTACCTCTATTATTTTTCTTTACAAGTTTTTATGTGAGATATTGATTGTTAATTCATAAAAATGAAGTAGGTAAATGTTTATTAGGTACACATTTCACTATAAATATTATAAGAACGTATTCATCAAAATTATGGTCGTTATTAAATGTTTTTGATGACAAAGGGTTGCGATAATCCGAGTATTACAAAATAATGAAGCACAACAAAGCCGTATTGTGTAATGATAGAGAGATATTAAAGCAAATGTTGCTTTGCTTTACCCCCGGGACTCACTGAAAGGGTTTCCGTATTACAGAATTTAGCGTTAAAAAGGTATATTGCGAATAACTTCTTTAAGGGGTTTGGTTGCGGTCTTTGATGTCGCATAAATTCTATTTTCAATGTGGATTATATTATAAAAAGTCTATTATATATAATGATCAGTCCCACGAGGTAGGTGAACAAACTTTAAGCATACTAATGAAACAGAAATTTAGTAATAACCTACAACTTGTTTGCACTCATTCTAGTACATATTTCGACAAGACAGTGTTGTAAGTCATTAAAATTATTCACAGATTATTAAGATCCAAAACGCATTGTTGCAATACAAGCCTGTCAATTATAACGAAACATATAAAGCGAATAGATACGGCAATTACTAGGACAGGAAGAGCGCCTGCGCCCGCCTAATTGTTTCCGTCGACTTCCCCCTCCCTGCTTCCTCCTCACTCCGCCAGCCCACCCCATTGCTGACTAAACGATGAAATATGAAACTCGGAGGTTCGATTGGTCTTTGTAAATGTTTATTGACTTGTGTTATTCGCTTCAATAACACGATATTCAGTTTTCGAGATAGGGAGTTGGAAGACACCACGTTGATATATTTATTGTATTAGATATGTCTGCGAGATTTGTGCTTTTCAGTTCATTAAAATCGAATATATTATTTTATATAGGTATTTATAATAATGTTACCTCTTGTTGTCCTGTATACAATAAAATATTCCACGTAGCACAAACATTGACTATCATAACGAGTAGCAATTTGTAATTTGGCAACATTTGATCAATGAAGTTGTAACAATATCAACATTTTTCCAGCAATCCGATACGGATCACCCGGAAGCAATCTGCGTGGACACAATACGTCCACATTGTTAATGCACGTGCCGACGTGTGCCTGAACAAAATCGTGTACGCTTTTACGAGAGATTGCTATTTAGTTCACTAGGCGTATCATTTCTGTTTTAATAAGGTAATAGAAGTAGGTATAATTTTTATTTTTATATAACAGGGGGCAAATGCCCATAGACACTCACATGAGAGCCACAAATGTGTTGCCGGCCTTTTAAGAATTGCTAAGCTCTTTTCTTAAAGGACCCGTCGTCGTCGTTGAGTCAAGTTGGTTTGGAAATTCTTTAGTGGGCAACTGGTCCCACATAGTGGTGTTGCGCGTCAAAGAATTGCCTTAAACAATGCTCAGTTGTGGAACGACAGACGTCGAGGTGATTCGAGTGGAATCTCGTATTCTGCCTCGACATCTAATGATGAAATAATCTAAAGGTATGAAGCCGAAAAACTCTGAACACTCTCCCTTGTAAATTCGGTAGAAGATGCAGAGAGACCCCACGTCTCTACGCAACGCCAGTCGCCTAGGGATCAAGCCGCACGGAAGGTGACTGGTCTTCGACGATTCGTTATATATCTATTTAAAACATGTTAAAAAGTAAAATAAAATGTTGTATAAATAGATACCTTCTAATTATTATTAGTACCCTACTACTAGCTATATTGCGTTTTGTATTTCTAGCCAATTTATCTAGACTGTCAATTGTCATATTGAATATTACAAGTTAATTAATATTCTCTTAGCGGCGTCCATTTAGGAGACAACGCTGACAAATACAAAGTACCCAACCCTTCATTAGCCAAGCTAATGATTTGCTAAACACTCCCTTCTAGGTATTCCCTCGACATCTGCTTTGTTCGAGACCAAAATCTATTTAATGATATCGTATTGCTAATTTTGGGATTAGACTCGCGTTCCGTCGGTTATTGAATTATTCCGTTTGCGGGGGCTTCTTGCTCCCTCGGGAGGTTATGCGCAACGTTGATAAATACTTCCAACGACTTGGCAATTACATCTGAATTTAAAAAAATTGCGCCTTTGGAATTTTTAAACGCTATACACTTCTATAATGAATTATTTTGGTTAATATCACTATAATACATATAATATTAGGACCATAAGAAGTTTCAAAAGGTGGTATGTTCAGTAGCACCCAAAAGTGGTTTCAGTTGGTATTCCTACACGGTTATCTGAGTGGCAGAGGAACTGGGGTAGGTTGATTTGCAAATATTCTGTAATGTATCCCCACTTTCCCACTGAGGATACGCAATGCATTTCTACCGCGGATGGAAAAAGTAAAGGGTAGCAAATGTACTCTGTATTGTGTACTCCAATAAAAATTCAAAACAAAATAAAAAAACAGATTGACAATATTTTGGTATATTATTGTATCTAAATATTTATTGTTATATAAAACACATTGAGTTCTCTTAACTAGTTGATATATAGTTTAATAAATCCTTATTTTCAATTTTGATTCAATAACTATTTAGACTAAATTAAATATTAACAAGCAACAATAGGTACACGGACACCCTACGACACCAAGACTCCTCGACTTTTTATGTTCATTGAACCGAAGACAATAATTATTCGTTAATCATAACTGAACAGTATCAACAATGGACACGCATCAACCACTAGGAGCCACTCAATTAGGAGCCATTCACGACCCCCTACTTCTCACAGTCACACTTTTCAACATGATTGAGATTTGTCCTGGTCAGGGTTCTTATGTTGTCCCACCCAGCAGGTTATAGGGTATATAATTTATCTGAATAGGACTAAAACTAAGCAATTAATCTATAGACTGTGTTCGGTTAAAAATTAATGTCTTTTTTTTTTTTGGAGTTTATGGCCTGGTATCTAGACATTTAGGACGATGGCATGTCTATTTAGCGTTATCCACAGAAAACACAAATATTGACCATAGATATATTTTGTCTATGGCTAGGGGAAATGCATATGCTATATGAAGAACAGCTAATATCTATTTCATGACTGTTGCGACGATTGTCAGCCTCCTACTTTTATGACAGACTGAAATGTAAATGTAATGATCTGAAATGAGCTTTGTTTAGGTGTAGTAAAAAAGATATTCATATTGTACTTTTGTGGATACCTAGTCATTGTGGTATAGCGGGTAATGAAACTGCTGACTCTTGTGCAAAAGGTGCTATTTTCTGCGGATCTTGTCAGCATACCAACATCTCGGCCCTCGACCTATCAGCTCTTGCGTACTCCCACCTTTT